GCATTTTTTATCAATATTTGGTAAGGGTTCAGTTTCATACAGCCATCTTTTATAGGGCAAATGATATATATGGAAAAGACAGAGCAAATGAATCTAAGAAACTTATCTTCTGTGTATTTTTGTCAAGTGTGAGAGAGCTTTAAAATATTCCCCTCAGGTTAGACATGTTTTTCTGAGTGTGATTGATGTGAATTGAACAATTCTGGTAATCATCGGTAAGGAAATTTTTAGTTTCACACTGCAATCCACCTTTGTAATTGTAGTATAGTTTCACTTCTGGTACAAGGTAAACCTTGCCTGCATTGGAAATAATAAATGAAACTAAAATACCTCTTATCTCTGATATTTCCTTTGCAAGTTAATAATAAGTGAGTTGTGCAACACCTAATACTTTGGTGTACATTTACAGGTGAATGTAATGACACTATCATAAGCAAAGGAAGAAACTGCACTCACTGATCCATGAAATAATCTGGGTAGTAAAAACTAACACCAGAAATGAAGGAAATAAACTGTGACAATCCTGCGTAGAGAATAAGCCCATGGCAGTTGGGTAGGGGTCAGGGGCAGAGCACCTAATAGGGAAATGCTGTGATCAGATGGGGTTTGTGGACAAGTTCCTGGGTTGGGAAGATTTTTGATTCACTTAGCGATTTTTGTGGATTTCCCAGGGGTGGCCGAAGTAAAAAGGACTTATGTCTCAGAGGGGTGCAGTCACTTCATACACAATACAAATACTTTCATTTATATAATTTGCAATGGAAAATAACAAAAGATTCATGCACATTACAATGTGAATTATTGAAACAAGTATTAATAATTGCAAGGTTGGGTGGTTGAGCAAAACTTAAAATCTTTAAATTTTTATTATATTTATCATCTTGCTTATTATTAACTTGCAACTGTTTTTGTAAGGGATCAGATAAATGTATTTGGGAAGGTGGATTTTGCAGGAGTCAAAAAAGCTTGTGATTATTTATTGAAAATTTAACATAACTGAAGAATGTAGAACAATTAAAAATTATTTATGCCGTGTTTTATCCAAATTGTAAAGTCTACCTGTAATGGCACAATCTTCAGATGATCTACATCTAGTGAGGCTATGGCAGATATTGATATACCCCCACCATTTATATTGTAGCAAGATAAAGTTTGCATTGCTTGGTTATTGGATGTCACAGCAAATATTCAGTTTCGGTGACATGCAAAACATCTTAAGAAAATTATAAAATGACTGGTTATTCAGAAGAAGAAGAGGACCTCAAGCAGTATTTCACAGTTTGGGGAACGTGTGCCTGTGAAATACTTTCCTGGTAAAAACAAAGTATTTTATGTGGTAATTTGTATACCTCAGTTGTATTGCCAATGTCAGTTTGTTCCTACTATCTGGAAATTTTATCTTTCTTACTTTTAATTATGTAATGATATTTCAGAGGAAATTATTAGGCGTCGGTTGATGATTGACGGAGATGGGACTGGAGATGCTCGTGTGATGATGATGTTTATGAAGTCCTTTATCAAGTGGTGCTCTACAGATGATTCTCCACAGGAATGGTAAGGTTATCTTTTTGCTCCTTGTGAGAATCCAGAACTCTTCTGTCTGTATTTGATTTGTTGTATTAAACCAATGGATTTGGGTGCCTCTGCCTGCATGTGGCCCAAGATCTGGGCAATAAGCTTACTTGAGCAGTGACTCTCCCAGGTGTGTGGCTCGTAGGCCTGTTGAGCTACAATTATTCAAATAGGGCTTGTCACAGTATTGGAATGTGTGAAGCTGAAACACCAGCCGGTTCATCAATTGATATTTTGATTATTGTGATGGAGTTATGAAGCCAAATAGTTGCAAGTAATTCTTCACAGCAATGATTGCAATTATTGGCAGAGCTTGTGTAAAGAGAGATGAAAAATTTATGCCACAGTTAGTATTACTGAATTACTGATAAAAATGTGGTACTAATGGTCCTAGTATACAGAAATTTGATAAAGATGATAGAACTAGAAAGGCAGCAAAAGACTGCTCAAGTTTTATCTTTTCTGATTGTATTCCATTCCATTTTACAGCCAGAACCAGTTTGACCGTCTCCTAACACAGCTAGCGTCCATAGAACATTCTTCACTTAAATGGAAGGCAATCGTTGGCATGAATCAGGAGGAGATAAAACATTATGAACTGCTAAGGTGAGCAATATAACTTGTGTTGTGTGAAAAGGTATGTAACGTACTAGAAAACTTATTGAAGTTATACATGTAGAAATGATGCTAGTGAAGTGGATGTGAGATATAACTGTGTCATAGAGCTCTAAAGAAGAAAATTGTGAAAGGGTGCAGTGACTTTAATTCTGCCATGATAACCATTTGTTGTGTAGTGAAAATAATTGAGAACTGATATAAAAGTAATTGAAAATATTGGAAAAGTAAATGCATATGGGCTGCCTAAACCACTGAATTGGCTAAAGTATGAGCTTGTTATCTGTATATTGCTGTTTGTGAAGTTCTGCAGTACTTATTTGATGATTTAGGTTTTGTATAAAACTGTGAATAAATAAGTTTTCATATGACTTTGGGAAACTGCATCATGGACATGTGTCATGAAGAACATACTCAAAGTAGCATAGAATATCAACATGGTAATACTTAGGTTTAGGCAAAAAAATTGACCATCAAATACTTGTTACACCTGTCTGCAGTAGATTAATGAGCATAATTCTTTTTCAGAGATGAAACCAGCAGAAGTGTTGAAGATGCCTATGTAGCTATTGGTATTGCCAAACAAGAATTAGAAGAAGCCAGGCAGGTACGACGGAACAGGCTAGAGTACGATGCTTTGGCAAGACTAATCAAGGAACACCCACCACGTTCAGACACCGCTAATAAATTGGCACACCTTACACAGCACCTGCATTCTCTCAAGGTAAGATTATAGTTTTGAAAATATTGTTAGTGGCATTATGATTAGAATGATAACCTCTTGGCACTGGGAAGTTGTGCTGTCCATTGTGATTTTTTCTTTGCAAGTACTTAATCACTAAGAAATAAGAAATAAATATCTTTCCAAAAATCAAGGAAAAGGGTAAACAGGTAAGAATAGTTACGACAAGTAATTGACTCCATGGTGACTAGACTCTTGTGGTGCTTTCTGTGTGTAAGCAAAATTGATTAACTAAAATCACATTGGACGTAGCATGTATTTGTTGTCATCCCAGTGCAGGGTGTTCAGTGCAAAGTTTCTCCTCTTCATTATTTTCCATATTTCTAGGCTTCTCTGAAGGTCTTGTTGAAAGTGGTTAAAAACAGCAGCTTTAGTTTTTATTTACAGCCAATGATTTATCCTAAGGGAAATTCTACAGGGGATACATGGTATTTATTTTTTATTTACACACCTAGGAATACAGACAGATTTGGGTTACCAGTTTTGGACTAACTGATGAGTTAATTATATGAATGGCATGCCTTAACCCATTCACGCCGGGTGTCCCGTATACGTGACGGGCTCACTGCGAGTTTACTTGTTTAATTGTTTACAAACATAGATGGCTCCACTTGCACTTGTACTGCCTGTCTCGTCTGTTTACCCTTTTCTTTAATTTACGAAATTATTTTGCGTTATCTTATTTTGCTGTTACTAATGTTTATAACATTATAGTAATTATAAAGTTTATAATGAAAATAACCATCGATATTCATAGCACTAGTAAAAATACAGTTTCCCGCCAAATGAAATCAGGTAAAGCAGAGCCATCTAGTGTAGAGAAATTTCATTAAAAAAATATAAAAAATGAGCACAGCATTTTCCCCATTTTTTGTTCATTTTTACCCGGCGCGAATGGGTTAAAGCTATTATACACTTAGGCTCACACTCGTGAAAATTCCATAGCTGTGTTGAATCCAGTCCACTAGTTTGCATTGGATCACAGTGCCATTGATATTCAGCCAGTTTGTTAAAATTGCAAGATCCATATATATGGACTTGCTTTTACACAGAATTAAATGTGTCTATCAATTTATCTATCTGTCTGCATAGTTGTCTGCCTATATATACATAAATGTGCTTACTTCTGTGTATATGCAAGCCTGTATATATGTATATTCACTGGGTCAGGAGTCTCATAGTATTAACAAACCAGACACTTGTGTGTGAATTTGCATTTGGATTATGAAATTTTTGTATTGATACATGTAAATTTACCCTAAAGCTATCAGAGAAAAGAAGAATGATCATAATTAAAAGGAAAGTGGAAATAATGAAGTGACAGTATAAAGTTGGTAAGCCATCATTTATTTATAGTTACTTATATTTAGAAATTGTAGCTACCTGTTCTGACTAGAAGTAAAGATAAAACTGTAACATACAGTGAATATAGGGAATTGTAGGGCTGTTCAACAAAATTCCCATGCATATGTATCTTTTCTTAACCCAAGGACAACAATGCCGTATCAGCTGTTTGATGGAAAAATCAGAAGCTTGTGAAATGTAAAATTACCCACCTTTCTATGCTCTTGGTTGCAGTATAAGCAATATTTTAGGCAATGAGACTAAAATGAGGCTTTAAGCCTATTTTGATGGGGGTATTTCTCCTCAGTGAATCCAGCCAAACAAATTCACAACTATTTAGCATGTCCAACTTAGAGCAGGCTTGATGGGCATGACAAAAAGATATCATCCAAGCATTAGAGGTGTGATGTGATGGGACATCCTATAGTGTAATTGGGTTAGTTTGCACAAAATAATTGTTTACAGGGAATTTTATATGTCATTAGTATACACAGTTCTCAGGATAAAAACCCATGAAGCAGTGAATCTCCCTCTTAATCCAAGGAGAGGCTCTATAGCTTTTTTTTAACTGTATTTAGTATTATTGTTAGTATTTTGTTGTTTATTTTATTTGTTTATTTATTTTTTGTTGTTTTTACCTGTGCATTTGGTTGTTTTGTTATTGCAGTAAAAGAATGAAAATGGAATATAGCACTTAGCTTGAGTAGTTTCTTTGGGATGTTTATTA